GCGCATTAACCCACAGAGCCACACCACTGTGCTCTCCTCCTCTTATCAACAGGGGCACTCCAAAAGTGAACATGAAATCCTTCATTGGCTGACCCTAGTTCATAGACGAAAATCCAGCTCTTAGGCCGTAGGCTCGTGAGTCCTCCTCATTCCCATGTCCACCCCACACTGCCCCTCCGCACCTTCTGTTCCACCAACAAGATCTGCCCAGTCTTTCAACTCTTGTGCCCATTTCAGACCCAGGAATTTCCCTGACCACCTGACAATCCTACTCACCTTTTAAGACCGAACTCAAATTCCACCATCACTCTAGGTTGTCATTTCTATAAATGAATTGATACCCACACACATACCAACCACTAAGCTCATGAGAGTGATTACAAAATCGATACAAAAACACAGCAGCATCAACATGCACCCATCAGCACAGATGCTGGCCGTGGGATGGAGCATGCTATACTGGGCGTTAGCCTGTTAGTAACTGGGTTGGAGGAGGTTCAGTGGTTCCAAGGGAGGGCACTCCAGGAGCTCAGCGCACTAGCCACTGACCCACCAGCAGGGCAGTGTGTGCCTGGTGAGGCCAGCTGCATGTGAGCTCTTCTGTGTCATAGAAGCTATGTTCAACTGAACCCTCTCCATGCCTCATCCAAGCCTGACAACCAGCCTATGGCCTTATTAATGCCATGTGACATATGCTCTAGAGCCGTCATAACAGAAATACCACAAGTGAATGGCTTGAACAAACAAATTTATTTTCTCAGCGTTAGGAAGGTTGCTGTTGTCATTAGATGTATATCCCAGGTTGTTAATGGGTCTTCTCCAATCCTGACGCTGTGTTCTTCAGGTCGTCCGGTTTCTTGGATTATTTGCTCAGCATACAGATTGAATTAATGAAAGGATATGACCCTGAAGCACTGCAGGCATCGATTTAGGGCTTAAAACACACACTTGGGGCTGACACAATACCTAAAACCATGTCACAGTTGAGTGACTTGTCCACATACAATAGGTGGTGGACCAGTCTCAGCAGCGTCCCTCCCAACAGTCCTACCTATAGTCCATCATCTGTAACTGTGACTAGTCCCTGTTCTCTGAGATGGGCAATCAGCATTTCCTGAAGTTTCTTGTCCACGATTCATCGCAGCACACCAAGGAGCTTTTGGAAGCCTGTCCTACCCATCTGTAGCCTAATGCATACAGAACAGCCCCTCCTTGCTTTGTGCCTCGTTACACCTGGTTATGGAGTCCTGGCGGGGCGCTGCAGGATCAGCACTGGACTGGGAACCACCAGCTGCTCCTCGGAAACTATAAGGGGTCGCCCTGAGTCGGAACCGGCTCGACAGCACGTAACACGTGGCTATCTTGTGTACTAAAGATCAGCCTCCTGTGTTGAGAGGACTGCCCGACAGATGGCCAGTTCCTTTCTCCCAGAGCTGCAGGTAGGTTTGAACCAATGGCCTTTTGGTTAGCAGCCAAGAGCTTAACCATTACACCACCAGGGCTATTTCTCAGGACACTACCAATTTACATGCTGCCCCCACTGGGCTGTAGGTCCTTTGAGGATAAGGACCCTGCTGTGTGCATCTTTGATTCACTCTGCCTTTGCAAAAGGACTGCCTCTGAGCCAGTGCATGTTTGTTCAATAAACATGAGCAAGAAAGACACAAACATGACAGTCATTTGGGGTAAAACCCATCTCTAATTACCACCCTGAGGGAGCTATGAATTCACATTACATTCCTTTTGTTTTCACCACTTTTATTTGAGACTTGCAGATGTTTTCTGCTGTGTTGTTAGTGCCTTTTGAATCAAAACAAAACACTGCCCGATCGTGTATTATTCAAGCCATCTCTTTGCGGGTCTTCTTCTCTTCACAGACCCTCTGTTTTACTAAAAATAATGTCCTTTTCCAGGTACTGGTCCCTCCTGTTAAGACATCTAAACTATCACTTCTAAGGAGCCATTCCAGCTATATCTCTTCCAAAACAGATTTGTTCTTAGGGCAGTCCATGGGACTTTCGATATTAACAACTCCATGATGACCAGTTATGGTCCAGTCGGTTGCAGCACGTGGCCATCAGGGTGGGACTGTGCTCCAGTTTCCAATGGTCGAGGTGTCTATTTACACATCACCAGGCCTTTCTTCCGAGAGACTTCCAGGTGAAGTCAAACCTCCAGCCTTTCGATTAGCGTCTAGCACGTGAATCATTTGCAGCACCCAAGGGTGACTCAGTCCAAGATTAGAAACTGCAGAAAGCAGGAGGAAGAGCAAAAAATACGCCCAGTGCAACCAATTCATCTGGGAAAGAACTTAAAATTTCTTCATGCATGGGAGGTGATGCTGCTCAACACTCTCCCAGAGAGGATGAAATTCATTCTTACAGGCCACATTCAACTACTAAACCTTGAAATGAAGACAGGATCCCTAACTCCGAGAGCTCCATCCCAATCTGCCCACCGCGTCATTAGGAAGCACCAAGCTCAGATTGGTTAAGTATTGGAGATGGTGCCCGAGAACCCAGAACGAGAGCGCAACAGAGATGAGGGGCCTACAGCTAGAGAAGCGGGTATGAAGCCGTAGATGCCAGGTTCTGGCCCTGGGGCCCTGCAGTCTCAGGCTCTGACAACACTGCCAGTAGGCACAGCAGGTATTCACAGATCAACTTGGACCTGTGCCGGAGGAAGGTGAGCACGGGGTAGTTAGGGTTAAGACTAGGCGCTGGGTTCAACCTCAGCTCTACCACTTCCTAGCTAACCACCTTGCGTACCATGTTCATTAGCCAGCTCCCCATCTGTGGGATGTGGCATGATACTACTTACCTCAGAGTATTGAAGGATGATGGATTGGGTGGCGCTGGACTGCAAGGTTGGCGGTTCAAACTCACCAGCCCTCAGAACCCTACACAAGGTTGTTATGAGTTGCAAACAACTCAACGGAACTTAACAACATAGACAGTCCTGGTGGGGCACTGTAGGATAGCACTGGGCTGCTAACCACAGGGTCAGCAGTTCAAACCCACAGTTCAGAAACCCTATGAGCTAGAACCGACTCGCCATAACTTAACAGATAAGAGTGATTACTACAAAGCTCAGCTCACAGTGCTCAACACCATCTGTTGCTAGTAAGTGGTAGGCAGTGGAGCCCAGGGTTTAAAATGTTCACCTTTCATGTAGGAGACCTAGGTATGAGTCCTGGACAACCACCACCTGTCTATTGAGGCTTGCATGTTATACTATTATGCAAAGCCTAAGATGAAACGTCTGGCAATCTATTCTCAAACATCAGCCAATGAAATCCTAGAAGCCACAGTGACCTTGGGGCTAGTACAGGGCCAGGCAACATTTCATTTCTTTGTGCATCGGGTCACTGTGAGGCCCTTATCAGGAGCTAACAGGTGGCGAGCAATCCAGGAGAGGTCAGGAAGCATGCCCGTTATGTGCCCGACAGCCCACAGTCACCAAGATGGCCCAAGCCCGTGGTGTTCAGCCAAGGCTGCTGGTTACTCTGGTAGGTAGCCTTTACAGCAGATGACTCTCAACCCATAGGGGTGGGACTGGGCATTTGCTTAAAGCTCTCCAGCAGATTTTAATAGTGAGCCAGGGTTGAGATTCACTGTTGCAGCTAACAGAGCCAGAGTTAAGCAGTTACCTATTAGCAAATCTGCAGGCAGCCCATCAAAGACACGTCCCCTAAGAGTACAGCCATATTGGTGTTAGGACAGCAAAGCGATAAAGTCTTAAAATTGAAAATGTATTTAAAAGTAAAAAGTACATCCTAATACTAAATCCTTAGAAAGGAATCACTCTGGAAAACGCATAACAAAGCTCAAGTGTTTATTAAGAATTAAAAATACTGTAAATAAGAGCCATACAGTTCATTTCACAGTAAACTAAACAAACTTTTTTTTTTTGTCCTTTTCATTTTTGTTTTTTTGGGGTTTTTTTCTTTTTTAAGGGGAAGACAGTAATTAAAGAACAGTACAGCTCAGAGGGAGTGAGGTACAGCCAACAATTATAGAAATGCAGTGCACTTTCTTCACTGGGACCCGGGGGTCTGCTCCAACAGCAAACCTCTTCGTGGTCATCATGTCTACAAAGAAAAGAAATGGGGCCTCCGTTCCCTAGGGAGACACCCCACTTCTCTACAGACAGCACTCAGAATTTCCTCAAAAAACCCAAGGGCTCTGCTTGCTGGCATTCGAAACCTCTACATCCCTCGGGGGCCCTACTAAAAAGAGCTGCCGCCGGCAGGCCACAGGGAATGGGATTCATTCGGGTGTTCTCTGCATAGTCACCTCCGCTGTGAAGAGCAGGCGCAGAAACAGGGAAGACAGCCACAACACCGGAGGGGACCCACCCACCAAGGAGCTGAGCCTTTTACAACAAGGGGCTTTTCCCACCTCCCAATTCAGAGCTGACAGTTATGGGTTCGAACCAGCTTCAAGTGGAAGACAAGAAGGGAGTGAGTGATAGCTCATGAAAACTTTGGTCAGGGTTATTTTAAAAATAAAGGAAGACTAACACTCCTTAAAAACAATTAGAGATAAAGTCTCTCCCCATCCCTCGCCCCCACACTTTGTTTTTTTTTTTTAAACTTGGTCCTGTTACCAAGTAGGGTTTCCTGAGGTTAATCTGCTTCTGTTAATCCCCAAATGAAGGACATTATCTTTCTATCTTTTTTCTCTGACTCTGGAACTGTCCCTTCTGAAAACTGTCACTAATTCACAGAGGCTGGTCCTTCAGGAAACCTACCAAAAGCAGAAGCAAGAAACTGATAAAACCAATGGTGTGTGGGAATCATTTGTTAATAAATTAACTGGGCACAAAAAGGCAGCTGCACCTTGGTGCCTCAGGTGGTGTCTACTAGCTCTTTTGGGTGGGGGACAAGAAATAGGGGTGCAGTGGAGGGCTGTGATGTGTGATGGTGGGAGGGAACTACACGTGTGTTTTGGTCATGAGAAGCTGGGACTTTAAATCCACGCTCTGCGCACGCAATCCAGTTAGACTTTCTCGTGAATCTTTTCGACTTTCACAAACAACCTGTCCAGGTCATTTCTCAGGTCGTCTAGCAAAGCCTTGGCCGACTCCAAGTTGTTTTCGTTGGTTTCTATCTTGACTGAGTAGGCGACCAAGCTGTCCACGGCAGTCCTGAGCATTTTCAAGTCCGATTCCACTTGGCTTACTGAGGATTTGAGGTTGTCTAGAGAGGCAAGTTTGTCCAGGCAGTCCTGAGGAGGCGCGGGGGCGGCCCGAGTTTGGTCCTGACTGAGCAGCGTGTGCACTTGTCCCTGGACCCTGTGGAGCGCCTCCACGGTGCTGGGGAGCTCAACCAGGCTTCTCTTCAGCTCCTCCACGTCGGTGTACAGGGAGATCTGGGCCTCCCCCAGGCTCCTGACGGTGCTGGCCACCCCGTCCTTGTCCGCCTCCACGCGTTCCTGCAGAGCGTCCAGGCGCTGCTCATACTCCTCGTTCTTCGAAAGGAGGGAACCCAGGCTCTCGGTCTGCCGCGCAGAGGCCACCTGCACCGACTGGACACCGTCCTCCACATTTTGGAGTCGCGAGTCCAATCCCTGGCTCCTTCTCTGGAGCTCCTCGAAGGCATCCAAGTTTCTGGCCACTCCATCGTCTTCTCCTTCTGGCCTGTTGGGGTGGGCTTTCAGTTGACGTAGCTCTTCTTCCAGTCTCCTGATCTCCCCTGGGAGGCGGGAAAGGGACTCCTCGGACTGGAGAAACTTCTCTGTGAGGGTCTGTAGGGTGACATGCTCTGTGTCAGCCGCCTCCTTGAACTTCTGCTGCTCCTGTTTGAGGCTCACCAGCTCTTTGACCTCCGTGTACACTTCAGACTCCATGGTCTGGAGGGTGCGTCTCATGGCCTCGATGTCCTTGTCCTTGGACTTCATGGAGGTCTGTATTTCCTTCACAACCTCCCTCAGGGCTTGCAAGTCCTGCTTGTGGCCCTCGGATTCCTCCAGGGAGGCAACCTTGGCCTTCACCTCGTTAATTTCCTTCTGGCTCCTCTTCTGGACGTCGGTGAAGATGGCGATGTTGTCATTGATGGACTTGGTGAGCTCCGTCAGCCTCTCCTCCACCGTGTTCTCCAGGGACGTGAAGTCCCGCTCGCGGGCATCCTTTACCACGTGGATGCCGTCTGAGAGGTCTTTGAGAATCTCATTCTGAAGTTTCTGTAGGACTTCACTGATCCGGTTGATCTCGCTCTCACCTTGCTTCACGACTTTCTCCATAAGATCCTGCTTATGTTGAGAGCTTCTCAGGATGGACTCAAAGGCCCCGAATGTGGCCTGCAGAGAGTGTACCTGTAAGCAAAACCCAGATGTTAATTACTGAGAAGATCTGCTGAGTGTGACACTACACAGCTGTATGACACCTGCCTAGCTTCTAGGCCCCTCCTGTTCCAGAAAGGCACCCTGGATTCCCTTTGGAGAGCTGTTCTTCTTCTGCACACCTTCCATGTGGTCTTGGGGACCAACCCAGGGGTGCCCTGCTCTCCAAGCCTTCCATGATTGGTTCCGTACCCAAGCCCGACCAATCCACATTTTCCATGCTCCACTCCCGCCCTGGGACGCAGCAATGAGCCCGGGGATGGGCGCGTGACTTGAGTCAATTCCAGGACTGGGAAAGAAAATTTCTTTGCCACTGGGATTGCTAGCCACCCATGAGGTAAGGGCTGGAGCTTTACAAACCAGCAAACGCAGGGCATCTGCCTGAAAATCAAACCGCATAGAGAACTCCCAGATGGAAAGATCACGTGGTGGGAACACAGTTTGGATCTCGACTACAGCTAGACCACAAGGAACTTACTCTTGAACCTTCTGAGTCAATAAACTCCCTTTCTCTCTTTAATCCTAATGTAGGGGGGTATCTAGCTCTTGCACACATCTCTCTGTAGGGAAAAATGTGAGGTACATGGGGGATACTTGGTTCGCAGGCAGAGGCCAGGGTTCTGCTGGCGTGTCTTTCAATAAGTCACTGTCCTCACTGGACCCAGGTCCTCCCTCACCTGCAAAATGCAATGGATCAGATCTCTGCACATTCTCTGAATCTGTGGACACATGAGGATCTTGTTTTTCCACCATGGATTTATTCTCAATAAATTCTACCCTGACCTAGGAACTACCCAGGGGAGCAGGCTTAATATACTGAGAGGTCATCCGGCCTGATGATGAATAACTGAGTCCCACATGCTGACAAAGGAAGCACACAGCCACCTCTGCTGCTTCCTTGAAAGAGAACTTAAATCAATCAGGTCTCGAGTTCTAACTACCAGTTTACAGAAACATGCCAGATAGAGAAGCAGGTTATCCCAGGCTAGACGCAGTCAACCAGCATTTTAAACCAGGGCAAGAGGGAAACTCGTATAGAGTGAAAGAAATACAAAGGACCTAACAACCCTAAGACGTATGGTGCAGCCCTTACGTAAATTCTGATTCAACAAACTGAAAAACAAACAAGCAAACACATTTTAGAGAATCAGGAAAATCGGTTTGCAATGAGCTGCTATAGAGGTTTAAAGTTACCAAGCCCATCCTTAGAGCTCAGCTCCACTCTGTAACACATGGATTCGCCAGAGGGTGGAATTACTGGAAAGCTGAAGGTTTGGCTTGTTTGACTTTACTAGATACTTAAGGAACTATTACTAACTTTGGTGTGGTAATACAGTGTTTTGGTATAAGAAACAAGGAAAGGACAAGAACCCTTATCTTTTAGAAATAAATCCTAAAATACTTGGATGAACTAACCTAACAGAAATTCATTTTAAAATATTCCAATTGAAAAAACAAGGGAAGGTTGAGAGGGGGGAGAATGGCAAATGTTAGTAATTATTCAAAGTAGGCGCCACATAACCAGAGTTTCATTACAATGTTCTCTTCTCTTTTGTTAATCAGTAAAAAAAATTCCACATTAAGAAGCTGAAAAAAAAAATGGTGGCCCTGGAACCAAACTGTTGTTGTCAGACGCCATCGATTCTGACTCACACTCACGGCGACCCCACATGACAGAGGAGAATCGCTGTAATCTTGACAGAAGCAGATCCCCAGGTGGGACTGAACCTTTCGGTTAGCAGCTGAATGCTTTAGCAGCCTGCACCACCAGAACTCTTGGGAGCTAACTGCCTACGTTCCAATCCTAGTTCAGGCACTTCCTCAGGACGTCATCTTGAACAAGTTACTCAGCCTATCTGTGGCTTGGTTTCCCCATCTGTAGAATGGGAACAAAAACAGTACCTTACTTACAGTCCTGCTTTGTGAGGAGGAGATGAGTTAATATGAAGCGGCTTCAAAGAGTTTATGGAAAAATTCCATAATCTTTTCTTTCAGTTTTTTCATGAATTTTTTGAAGCCTCCTCATATATGTAAAATGCTTAAACCATGCCATTTGTTGTTAAGTACTATCAAGTTGGTTCTGATTCATAGTGACCCTGTATACAGTTTCCAAGAAATGGCTGGTGAGTTCGAACCACCGACCTTGTGGTTCAAACTGACCTTGCGGTCTAGTGTTTTATCTTATTGCTCCACGCCAGGACTCAGTGCCTAGAACATGGCAAAGAATAACTGACAGTTATGGAATGTGGGGGAGCGCTGCAAGATACGCACTGGACTGTTAATCACAAGGTCGGCAGTTCAAAACCACCAGCCGCTCCTTAGAAACCCTATACGAGGGTCACTATGATTCGGCACCAAGTCAATGGCACCTAACAACAACAGTGCCTTCATTAAGGCACTGGTGGCACAGTGGTTGAGCGCTCAGCTGCTAACTGAAAGATAAATGTTGGACTCCACCAGCTGCGCTACAGAAGAAAGATGTGGCAATCTGCTTCCATAAAGATTGTTGTTGTTGTTAAGTGCCGTCGAGTCGGGTCCGACCCATAGCGACCCAAGCGTGTAAATCTTTACGGGAGTAGAAAGCCTCATCTTTCTCCCGCCCATAAAGATTACAACCGTGGAAACACTCTGGGACAGGTCTACTGGTCTATCTACAGGGCCCCTATGAGTCAACAGGGGGCAGAGGGCGAATGGAGCAGCTTGGTTTGCTTCAGAGAGTCCTGGTGGGTTAATGCGCTGGACTGCAAAGTCATGTGAACCTCAAGGTAGGTGGTTCAAGCTCACCAGCCGCTCCTCGGAAACCCTATACAGGGTTGCTCGGGGTTGCAACCGACTTAACAATAACAACGAGTCAACAGCCAACAGGTACAGCCTTCATTATTGTTTTCTCTTGTTCCTGAAGTATCCTGGAGCACCCTCAGCCCAATACCAGAAACAGGGATAAAACTGAAAACACAAAGAGAATGTAAACAGGACACTTGGGGTCTGGTTCCAGCTCTACCCATAATCAGTTCTGTGAACACAAGTCAGACACTTCCCTCTCCAAGGCCCAGGTCCATCTTCCATGAAATCGGTCTTTTACATTTCTGCTAGTTTTACCAGTCTATGAAGAGTAAATAAGGTCCCCAGGGACTCCAGAATACTGAATCATTTCCCTGCCCAACCAAACTCATAAAGGACGCTCTGAGGAGATGCTGGAGAACAACTCTTCTCTGATTAGGTTAGTGAATCTCACAATACCTACAGAGCACTCCGGCTGGAGGCAGGAGCAGGTGAGTTCACCCATATGTCTAGGATGAATGAAGAGTGATTGACAGCAGTTTCTGAAGCACACCAAGCTGGCCATTTCTCCGGTGTGCTCTGGTACCCCTAACCTGGGCTGACTCTTTACATGTCTGAACTTATGGATGACATGAAACAAACCAATCTCCTTCACTAGAGAAAGAACTCAGACCGATTACTGGGAATTGGGCATTTTTACGCACAAAGAACTCATTATCATCAATATGTACTGGATGTATCTGTTCCTCAACACATGTGAGGGGCCCACTAAGTAAAGTGACAAGAGCTGGGTAAAGTGCCTGATACAAAATAATAACTAGTACTGAAACACACATTCAACTTCAACAGGGCACTGACCATGTACCAAAAACTGTACAAAATAACTTGACTGGCATTATCTCAATAAAAATAAAAAAAACCAAACCCAATGTCCTTGAGTTGACTTCAACTCATTTTGACATTAAAGGACAGAGTAGAACTGCTTTTACAGGGTTTCCAAGACTGTAAATCTTTCTAGGGGAACAGAATGCCACACCTTTCTCCAGGAGTAACTAGCCTAATGCTTAATCATGGTGTCACCGGGGCTGTACCATCATAATGAACTTCCGTTAATTGGATGCTTCCATTAATGTGCATTTTACACTTGAGGACAAGCAGTGATTGGGAATTTTAGGTACACCGGTCACTCAACTCATGGCAGAAACGAGACCCAGGTCAGCCTCCTCATCCAGAGTCAAGATGGGAAAACAAACTGGACCAGAGAACTCACTCATCCAGAAACAGCTCCTGTTGTCTTGTTGTTGTTAATGTGCCTTGATCAAGTCAGTTCTGACTGAGAGCGACCCTGTATAAGGTTTCTGAGGAGCACCTGGTGGGTTTGAACCTTCAACCTTGTGGTTCAAACCAACCTTGCGGGCCAGTGCTAATCCTACAGAACCACACCATGACTCAATTGTTTTTGTTTGTTGTTAAGTGTCATCTAGTCGATTCTGACCCATAGTGACCCTGTATAGGGTTTCCAAGGAGCAGCTGGTGAGTTTGAACCACCGACTTTGCAGTTCAAACTGACTTCGCAGTCTGACACATTAGCCCACAGCATCACACCATTCTAATATATGCTACATCTTCTAGTACATGGCTGGCTGGTGGCTATGTGCTGTGGAGTCGATTCCGACTCATAGTGACCCTGTACAGGGTTTCCGAGGCTGTAAATCTTTACGGGAGCAGAAAGCCTCAACTTTCTCCCGCGGAACAGCTGGTAGTTTTGAACTGCTGACCTTGCGGTTCGCAGCCCGATTCGTAACCAGTATGCTACCAGAGCTCCTTATAGAATAAGTTGTTGTTGTTGTTAAGTACCGTGGAGTCGGTTCCAACTCATAGTGACCCTGCACAGGGTTTCCGAGGCTGTAAATCTTTACGGGAGCAGAAAGCCTCCTCTTTCTGCCGCGGAACCACTGGTAGTTTTGATCCACCAACCTTGAGGTTAGCAGCTGGATTCATAACCACTACGCTACCAGGGTGCTTAATAAATGCTTGCTCCATTGACTTGGGATTTAGAATATGGCTTCAGATTTGCTATATTTGAAGTGGTTAGCACAAGAGAAGTTATTTTCCACTGAGGTGACTGATTTTCTGACAACCTCTATTTGAACCTTGTAGTGCTGTACGTTAAGCATTGGACTGCTAACTATAAGGTCAGTGGTTCAAACCCACCACTCACTCCTCAGAAACCCTATACAGGGTAGCTATGACTCGTAACCAACTTGACAACACGTAACAATAACAACATAACTGCATATGTGATGTGCTGGTGGATGGATTTTGGTTATTAGCACCCACTATGTACTAGGAGGAGTCCTGGCATGGGGCTATGGGTTAATGCTCTGGACCACAAAGTCAGTTTGAACTGCAAGGTCAGCAGTTCAAACTCACTAGCAGCTCCTCAGAAACCCTATACAGGATCGCGATGGGTAGGAACTGACTCAACAGCACTTAACAACAACAACATGTACTAGATTGGAGTCCTGGTGTGGCGCCATAGGATAAGCGCTTGACCTCAAGGTCAGTATGAATCGCAAGGTCAGCAGTTCAAACTCACCAGCTGTTCATCAAAAACCTACTACAGAATTGCTCTGAGTTGGTAACCGACTCGACAGCACCTAACTACAACAACAATGTACCAGATGAGGAGTCCTGGTGTGGCACTGCGGAAAATGCCCTATACTGCAAGGTCAGTCTGAACCGCAAGGTTGGCGGTTCAAAGTCGCTCCTTGGAAACTGTATAAAGGGTCACTATGAGCCAAAACCGGCTCGACAGCACTGAACAACAACAATGTACTGGAATGGGGTCCTGGTGTGACACTGTAGGATAAGCACTGGACTGCAAACCACAAGGTTAGCAGCTCAAATCCATCAGTCACTCCTATGCAAACCTATATGAGGTCGCTAGGTGTCGGAACCGACTCAGTAACACATAACAACAGCAACAACAATGCAGTACACCAGTAGGCACAGGAAAACACGACAAAATGAACAGAGTGGCTAAGAGGAGTTACACAACCTGGGTTTGAATCCTGGCCCCACCACTTATTAGTTGTACTGTACTGCAGAGTTACTTCATCTCTTTGTGTCTCCATTCCTTCATCTGTGAAAAGGGGCAAATAATGGTCCTTAGCTCTTCGGGTTATTCTGAAGGTCAAAAGAGATGCTGTGTTTCCAGATGCTTCGCACAGTGCTTGGCACACAAATAAATGCACACTAAGCATTGGGCAGAGCCCTGGTGTGGCACTGTGGGCTAATGCATCAAACTGCAAAGTTGTTTGAACTACAAGGTTGGTGGTTCAAGCTCACCAGCCGCTCTTAGAAACCCTATACAGAGTCGCTATGGGTCGGAATCAACTCGATGGCACTTCACAACAACAAACACTGGGCATTAAATACCAGCCTGACTCTACTACTTCAGTTTTGTACAAGACAGCAATCGTGATCTCAATCACTTTACATTTGTGAGGATCCCTGGAATCCAGATGAGCCCTCCCCTCATTGCATGGATGAGAAAACTGAGCCTCAAAGAGGAAGGCAGTCTGTGCAAAGCTGAGAAGACTATGTGCCAAAGCAGGAATAAGGGAGGTACAGGGAGGAAAAACCGAGAATAAAGCCCAAGTTCTTCAACCTAGAGTCAAGTCCTTGGTCCATTTTAGCTTTACTTTCAACCTCCTCTCTCATAACTGCTTAAGTCACCCTGCCATAGCTAGGTGGCCACTTCCTATAGTTCAAACATGCTCAAGACCCTCTCCTCCTGTCTGTGTGTTCTTCACATTTCTTCTTTCCGCATTTATCAGTCACAAGTCCTGGTATGGTGCTGCAGAATAAGCACTGAACTGCAAGGTCAGTTTCAACCTCAAGGTCGGTGGTTCAAACCCACCAGCAACTCCTTGGGAACCCTATACAAGGTTGCTATGAGTCAGAACTGACAACACCTACCAACAACAACTAGGTCTAGCACTATACTGACCCATAGTGGGTTACGCATCAGGCTGCTAACTGCAAGGTCAGCAGTTCAAATTCACCAGACGCTCCATAGGAGAAAGATGAGGCTTTCTGTTCCCGTAAAGATTTACAGCCTCGGAAACCTTCTACAGGGTCACTATGAGTCAGAACCGACTCAATGGCTCACAACAATTCTGCCCCTGGGTGGTGCAAATGGTTAATATACTCAGTAGCTGACCCAAAATTTGGAGGTTCAAGTCAGAGGTGCCTTGGGAGAAAGGCCTCACAATATAGTTTGGGGAGGAGGGGGGGGTGGTTATTGAAAAACCCTACAGGGGCATACAGTTCTACTCTGATACTCATGAGGTCTCCAGGAGTTGAAACCAGCTCACAAGCAAGCAGACACTTTGGCCACCAGGTATACAGAAGTAGGCAAATTCCATTCTCCAGAACTTGAACCCTCCACTGACACCTAAGGATGGGCTCATTCACAAATTAATAGTCACAATTTCTGTGCAGTGGCAAAGCCGCTTTCTGTTGCTCCTTCATACCCCTCCACAGGGCCTACACAGAGGCACAGGACTATCTGACTGCAATAAATACTATGATTGATAAGTGGGTGGATGAAAGAGAGGAAGCAGAGAGGTCAGTGATTACACTCCGGCACTATGTCTAAATTCCCAGTCACCTGATATTCCTGCAAGGCAAAGCAGCACTGCTTACTTTAATTCCCTTAGAAAAGTCACCTCCCTTGGCCTGCAGCATTTAGCAGGCTGACTCACTCCAGCTGCTCTGCCAGTCTAAGGAAGTCACTTCCTAGCCCTGCACACTCATACAAAGTAAAGAGAAAACTTGGCAGGGCGGGCAGCATGCTGGGAAAAGGAGGAAACAGTTCCGGGCTCAGAAGTGGCGGGATTTTTTGTCTCGGTCATGCACTCAATTTTCATTGATCAATGAAATTAGCAGAGGCTGGAGGTAGGGAAAAAGGAGATTGAAGGAGCTATGCGCTTGGTCTAGACAAACAGAGCTTGGTCAGGAAAAACCAGAATGGCGCCCAGGTACACCTGAACTCAACCCCCTGTGGGCCCGGAACTGGGCATGAATCTAAATGTTACCACTCTACCACTCGCCAGATAGGGGTCTTTGGCAATACATTACAGTGACTCAAACTCTGTAAATCTCAATTTTCTGGTCCGGAAAATGGGAGTCAACACATCCAGTTTCATCTCCCTCCCAGGGCAACTCTGAGGACTAAGTAATAAGCAAGAGTAAAGCCCTCTAAAAACCTTACAAATGAAAATGTACCTGGAGGTATTCACCAGTACTTCTGAACTAGTATTTTGAGCCTTACCTTCCCTCTCAAGCTGAAGTATACTACTTCAAATGCCCACATGAGCACATGGGTCACACGGCACCGTTCCAAAATATTTCATTTGCACTTTGTAAATGAATAAGAGTCTTAGCTTTTCCTGCCTCAAACTCAGGGTCTACTAAAAACTGGCTGAGATGTCCCCCACTGGAAGGGCTGGGGTGCTGCCTTGTCCAAGGTTCCCAGGGATGCACTGACTACCCTTTCAATCTCCTTTTCAGAAAGCTGCCCATTCAGAGGTTCCTAATCCAAAAAGAATGGGCTTCGGAGGGCCGGCCTGCCGGCTTCCTTACACGTCACCGCTAATGCCCTGTGGCATGCCCTTGGTCCATGCTCCCCACCGGCCCCAGCATCCTCATAAACGTCCACCCCTTGGGGCGATTCCTCAGCAGCCATTAACAGGATCTGGGGTCGGTGGGGCTCGGAATGAAGGGGTACCAAGGGGGGGGGGGTACCTCCAGCACCAGGTGGGGCCGGGGCCTACACGACCCAGAGGGACTTGCCGAGGAAAGACGGTCAGTCACCGGGCCGGGTGGGTGGGCACGAGGGGGCACGGTTGAGGGTCCGGGCTTTGCTCCCAGTGGAGGAGGTTCGAAAGGGCCGAGGATACTCACCTTCTGCTCGACAGCCTGCAAGCCCTGTCCCAGCTCCTCCCGTTGCCGGGCGAAGTCCTGGTGGCCGAGGCGGACCTGCTGGACCTCCTCCAGGACGTGGTGGACACTCCAACCCGAGAAGGCGGCCGCCGCCACCAAGGCGAGGTAGAAGAGAAAGTTGAGCGCCTTGCCGAGCCTGCGCGAGCAGGACGAAGAGGACGAGGCGGCGGCCGCGGCGGCCGCGGCGGAGGAGGACTTGCCGCCGCCGCGGTGGCTTCCTTTGCCGTGCGCCTGGTTCTGCTGGTGCTGATGCTGATGCTGGTGCGGCGCCGGCGGCGGCTGCTGCTGCGGCGGCGGCGGCGGCTTCTTCGCCACGTCATGGGGAGTGTGGGCGCGAGTGTGCGTGTGTGCCTGCCTGCGCTTGTGCGTGCGCCCCGGTGTGAGGCGGCCGAGTGTGCGGTGTGATTTGGGCGTGCGTCCGCATCTGGGTGCAGCGGCGCGCGTGCTCCCTAGGGGGTGCGCGTGAGCCCGCGGCGGGCGGCTCTGCTGGAGGCCTCCGGGTCACCTCCCGCGCCAGCCAGCCTTTCACACTCGCGGGTTGGGGCGGGGGACAGCGCGACCGCTCGCGGGCAGAGGTATTCGGGACCAACTAAAGCATCCTGCCCATCCCCCAGCCTTCCTGGTTTCCCCCTGGCGAAATATAAAAAATACCTTTTGAATCCCTAGCTTAATTTACATGTTAAAACTTAGTGGTTTTTTCTATTCAAGAGCTGTATTTTTTGTTTTTTGGTTTTTTAAATGAATACCTTTAAGTAGGAGAGAAAAAGAGTGCTAGATTGAAAGTTTCTAATTCTAGACCTAGAACTGGGTATACTGTGAGCTTAGGTAGTTTTTTTTGGGGGGTGGGGGGGTATTTTTGCTTGAGCATCAGTTACCTCATCTGTAAAGGGGGTGGGAAGAGAAATTGGATCGCCTAATCTCTAAATCCCATTTAAACCCTAAAAGTTTATCGTGCACTATCCCCAGTATGAGTCCTAGTGTGGCACTGTGGGCTAATGTCCTGGACTGCAAAGTCCGTTTGAACCACAAGGTCAGAGGTTCAAGCTCACCAGCTGCTCCTTGGAAACTCTGTACAGGGTCGCTATGGGTCAGAACTGACTTGAAGGTACTTCACAACAACAACATCCTAAGTATGGAGTCCTGGTGTGGTGTTGTAGGATAAAACACTGGACCACAAGGTCAGCAGTTCATACTCATAAATTACTCCTCCAAAACTCAATACAGAGTCGCTGTAAGTCAGAAGCTACTCAAAGGCACTTAACAAGAACAATCCTAAATACGCAGTCCTTACTAAGACAGGGATAGCTTCTGTGTTTCTCAGTAGTTCTTTCCTCTCACTCTCAAACCTTAAGATTCTGGCCCTATGATTCACCCCTACATGTTTTTCTCTTCCATTCCCTATATATTCTGTCCTCTTGTTAGGTTACCAATTCCCACAGCACTAACTGTCACCTCTGCATGGGTGATAACCAAATCTACATCTTCAGTCCTCATCTTTTTTGGAGGTCTCACATTTCCAATGGTCCACTGAATAGCCTTGATGTTACACTGTCTCGTCAAAACTCAACAAACCCCAAACCAAATCCAGTTCTTCTCCTGACTTGTAGTAACTACCTTTTTTTTCTTAGTTATCCAGGTTGGAAAGGATCACCTGTATCTTCCTCACTCTTCCCACATTATCTGCTTCCCAATCCTCTCAACTGTACTCCACAACAGTCTTGCTCATTCCTTACTTTATTTTCATTCTTCTAAT